ATCTAGCCTTAAATAATCAGGTGCTTGTAATGGGAGGATGAGCTGATGCCTGAGAACAAAGTCCTATAAATATCCTTATGATTATTAATGTTCTCTGGAGGCTAAGAAGACAAAACTAAATTTCCTCCAGAATCCTGTGGTTTCAATAAATCAAATGCTCCCTTGCCTATTGTTCTTCTGGGCCCCTGGACAGTAGACAGTTTTGAGAAAAGAAAGAGCTTACAACTAGAACATTCTTGCTCATATCCCCTCTTTACTGTCTTTCTTTCCTTCCTCAGCATTAGATTTTCAGTGGTTGGACTGATCAGGCAGTCGTAGTGGTGGGCTTTTACACCAGAACATGCTGCTGAATATTAATCAGCAAAGCAATCTGAGTGATGTGGTCTTGGAAATATGGGAAGCAACCTGAGATGGAGATCTAAAGCAGAACCATGAAATAAACCACTTGCCACTTGCATTTGTCCAATCTCAAATTATTTCCGAACTTGCACCCAGTATTCTGTAGTCTTCCCCTTTGTTCAAGAGCTGAAATGATCTCAGCGGCTAACAAAAAAAACCTCCAGGGAGATGAGCATCTGGGTCTGGCGACCTGTGGGTTTATTTATATGAGCTACTTCTGCACAAAACCCCGGCTAATTAACCCGCTTTCATTAGCCGGCGCCTGGATGGCGCTTGCTAATCTTGTAGTCGGTTGATGTCCATGTTAATGATATGCTTGCATCCGTGGCCTTGATCTCACAGGTGATTAATTTAACTAGCTTGGCAGAGCGACCAAGCATTTTACTCTTCATTTGAAGCCTGTCGGATCTGGTACACGCCACCATTAAATAGCCAGCGACGTGAGCCGAGACAGATCGTGTGTGCTCACGCTTCTCGAATGTAGTGCAGCACACTGTAATCTGCAATTGCAATTATTGACACTGCAGTTTGCACATCTTTTATAAGCAGAGTCATGTGTATTAGAGCAGAGAAAGTTCATAACTGTGCATAACTGGGATAAGTGTTCCACTTTAATACAGTGCGACCTAAATGGAAGAGGAGCATCTGAGAACACTTTATTATTAGAGCGTAAAGAAATGCAGAGCTGTAATGGGTCAGTGCTTTTCATGGTAGATTGGTGGTCACCTTGGAAGTATTATTAATTTCGTTTCTAGAGAAGTGAAACAGGAAATGCGGAGAGCAGGAGTTGTCAACTGGTGGACCGAAATCCAGATGCAGACCCAGCAAAGTATTTCAGTGGAACGAATATACTGTAGCAGAGCTGCTAAATGTATTTTATTATTTTTTTTTAATTGCCTGGAATACACTGACTCTGGTTTCATAAATATGAAACGCTGCAGTTTCGATTTATCCAATCAATTGCATTTATGCAAATTATTTAGCTGAAGGTAGCTCATCAGACCAGAGACTAGCTACAGAGCTAGAGATATTAGCTCAAAGACGTTTAAAGACGATTGGACAGGAAAGTATGTATTTATTCCTCATTTTGAAATGCAGAACAGATGTGTCTCCTCTGTTCAGAGTGGAGGTGTGCATCGGGATAAAAAGTCGCAGGAGCAGGCGATTTTTATTTTAATACAGGTGATCAGATATGATGCTTACGGAGCAAAGAAAGGTCGCGTCACTAATTTTTTTTTTTTGTAACAAATTTTACTTGAATACCCCTGATGTAGAGTATCAAAGGACATAATTTTTCCCCGAGACATTGTGCTTGCAATCTCATTACCATATTGTGTAAATCTAAAAAGCTGAGTACCACCAGTTGAGACCATTTATTGTCCATTTTGTCCTCCGAGTGAAGACAGGACGTGTTTATTCAGGCCTGCAGGTCACATGCTAGGTTCGTGACTCCCTCAGACAGGCACTGGTTGTTTCTTGTCCTCTCTCTTGCGTTCTCTCTCTCTCTCTCTCTCTCTCTCTCTCTCTCTCTCTCTCTCTTACACACACATCTGAATCCACAGCCAGGGGAACAATCAGGCTGATGACTGCATTCTCTGATCAGCAGTCTTATCACTGTGCTGCTCATTTCCTTCTCGTCTATTCTCCAAATGCTGCATTAGAGAGACAGAAATTTTCCGGCGAAGACTATGAGCACACACGTGATAAGAAACAGCAACTAAGCTAGTGCATTTTAAGGTCACCTTGCCGGACAAATTCATATACAAACGTAAGCCTTATATTTATATGTTTCCAAATTCAATTGGAAAATATGATGCTCCACATTCGAGCTCGTCTAGCTTTGGCTTGACCTGGTCACTGACGGATGGATGCATGTGATCACTATGAGATTAGGTGGACGTTGATGGTCACATGACTACAGCACTTCCTCCCATAGCAACCGGATCAGCTGACCTGTCCAATGGGGTTAATCGCCTTTACCATTCCAGACCAGCTAATTACTGTAGCAGAAAGAGGAAAAACTCGAGACAGAACAACAAACAAAAATGCTGCAACACTTCCTGCAAATCGTGTATTATAATGCATTATAAACATATGGCACCTAATACACCCTAAGCCCGTTTAATTGCTCATGATAAATTTTGGTTTCATGCGTAACACTTTGCAATATATAACATAATACCAGGATATATAATGCATTATAACACGTGTTTCTGAGAACATTCTGTAGACACAAAGGTTATAATGCTCTGTAATGCATTATGACTTGCATTCCAGCTACGATACCAGAGCCTTTCATACACACAAGCTTTATTTTACAAACCATATATAAAGTAATAACATGAGGTTACATATTACCTTATAATATCTTGAACATTGGAGACAAGTCATAATGCATATAACACAGGTTCGGCATTATAACCTGCGGTACAGATACCTGTGTTATAGTGTATTACAATGATTATTTCTGTGTCTATACTAATAATATCATATGCTCATGCTTTATTAAGCATTATAAACAGCCTGTAACTACTTAGTACTTAACATAAGCGTGTATAGTAATGATTACATTTATACCACTTTATAAAGCATGAGCACATGACTTAGTGTCAGAATATATAAAGCATTATAAGAGCTGTTCATAAGAACATTGAAGACACGTTATAATGCACTATAACACAGGCTCTGCATTATAACCTGTGGTACCGATACTAAAGCTGTGTTATAATGCATTATAACTGTCATGTCTATGTGTCCTGGCTACTTAGTGCCTACCATAAGCATGTATAGTTTTGGTTAAATAACACATTATAAAGCATGATTTCCTGCCTTTGTGTCAGAATATAAAAATATTATAATATCTGTTCATAAGCACATTGAAAACATGTCATAATGCACTATAACACAGGCTCTGCATTATAAACTGTGGTACGCATAGTAAAGCTGTGTTATAATGCATTACAAAATTAACAACTATATATCCTGACATTACAAAGTGCTTATTAAATATGCTTATTAAGCTTTATGCATGCGCCATAACTACATAGTGCTTAATATAAGTGTGTGTAATTGCTTATAAGTAGCTATGGTTAGATTTATAACACTTTATAAAGCACAGGCACTTGACATTATGTCAAAACATATAAAACATTATAACTTTGTTCATAAGAACATTGTAGACACTATTATTGTTCACTAAAACATGAGCACCGGGATAATATCTGTACCACAAGTTATAATCTGTTATAGTGCATTATAAAACCAGTGTCTGCAATATTCATATGAACACGAGTGTTATACATTTAACCATAACTATTATAAGCAATATACAGGCTTGTGTTGGTTGTAATAATGTCTCATGGATGCTATATAACTGGTTATAAATGCATTCATAATGCATTATGAATACAGAAAATCACAGTAAATGTAAATATCATTTGCACTTTTACGTACAACAGTTTCTTGTTCTGTCTCAGGATTCCCCATGACTTTGGCCATTGTGGAACATCTGCATTACGTCAGGTGTTACAGACTCTTTATAACTTAACAGTTGAACATTTTCCGAAAGACACACACACACACACACACACACACACACCTATAAGCATCAAACTGGAACTACAAGAGGTTATGTTAGGAAACAACTAGAAAAACCAGCTTCATAGATTCACGTAGAGTTGTGCTCTACCATCACTCATTCAAACACATTCTAAATATAGTTTCGCTATAGCAACCACATTTAAGACAAGGACTGATTCGTTTGTTGTGTTTGCTCTCTAAATAGAGCCGTCAAGATGAGCCTTCTTTAACAAAAGCTGCAGGGACAAATACAGATCTTTCTCCATTCTAAAAATAAAACTAATAATTAGGACAGTGTCAAGGTTGCACCAGAAAAAGCTTAGTCAGGAAAGGCTGTGCATGAGAGAGGAGAAAAATCGTTCCCTGTTCTAAATTTAAACAATTAGGGCTCTTTTTCATGGTCACTGAGGGTAAGTAAGAAGGTAAACAGGAAGATGGAGGATAAACACCATGTTCTTTGAATCTGTCTCCACCTCACATAAAAGCTGCAATGCACTTCAAGACAGATCGCCTTGAATCAGTTAAGTCTAGCTTTACTTAAAATCGTCCTTGATTTAGATTAATCGCCAAACATTAAAGGTGCAGTCTGTAAGTTTGAAGTCAGGATATATACTTTTTTTCTCCTCACATTATTAAAGTATCTTCTTGGAGAAGAAATTCTGGTTTGTGTGGCATCCCAGGCTCTGTAAACGGCAGTAAAAAAACACTGATGTGGACTACCAACACCCAACCAATCATGACACGCAGGCATCTATTTGCTTGTTAAACATGTCGCTCATCAACCATGTATTTTTTGGTGTTTTTTCGTTGAATTATTTGAATGATTATGAGCTTCAGGTGGTTGTTCCTCTTTCACCTGCTCCCTTTAGGGGTCGCCACAGCGGATCATTGGTCCGCGTACTTGATTTAGCACAGTTTTTACGCCGGATGCCCTTCCTGACGCAACCCTCCCCAGTTTTATCGGGGTTTGGGACTGGAACTGAGAGCACACTGTTGCACGAAGCCCCAGTGGCTGGGGTTGGTTCCCTGGCCGGGAATCGAACCCGGGCCGCAGCAGTGAGAGCGCCATGGTTAGGACCACTAGTCCTCCAGGGACCCGATTATGAGCTTCAGGTAACGTCCACAAAAAACAGAACAGAAACTTACAAATCTGTTTTTTTGTCTTGTTGGCAGTTTATTGGTTGGTATTTTTCTTGTTATTTATTACTTATTTATGTATTTATTTTAAATCTAAATTGGTATTGCTATTACAACTGGGATTTCACGTCCTTTCAACCTTTTCCTGTATGTAATTGTGAAGTTTTATGTTTTTGTTTAAATTACTTAAAACGTGAAATTGCAAAAGATATCACTGCGCAAAATTTCAAACAAAAATATTTAAACAACAGAAACGTACGAACTTTAATTCTGGTCTCAAATTAAGAAAGACGCTAATGAGTTATGAACCGCATGGCCTGAATCAGTAGTACTCCTGTATTACCTGATGTGACACCTCAGTATGGTTTTATTTAATGACAATATTTGCAAACCCGCCAACCCTGAAGACAAGTAACGCGTAGTCATGCTGAGGGGGCGGGGCAATAACAAAAGTACATTTTCAAAATAGACCTTCCACCAATCATTGGATTGTGTAAGGCAGAAATTCGGGTGCGCATATATACGATAACCACAAGGCACATGGGGGGATAAAGCTGGCACTCTTCTGTTTTAGTTAAAATGTAGACAGTTTATATGCATACTTTCTTTCTTCCTATTCTAGGAAAATATGGTGTGTAGAGCAAATAATAAGAACATGTGCATGGAAACTTTTTTAGTGCATACATTTTAAGTAAAACAGATGAGTGGCAGCTTTTTCCCCCCTTGCACCTGGTGGTACATGTACATACACACACTACCATCAAAATTATTTGTAAAGTGTTAGATATTTTTTCTGTCAAAAAATTAGCCTTTTCTTGGCAAAAAAATGCCATATGTTCATATGTGCATATGTTCAAAATTCCAGTGTAGTCTAAAGGATTTTATCAGATGTCCCACAGTGCATTGCCTCAAGACAACATTCCCATTTAAAACCACATTCCTATAATACTTCAGAAATAATTAATGAAACACTCCCATCATTTGAAAAGAAACGCTCGAAACTCAGTGTGCACAAACTGTTATTAAAAATATAGTTGTATATATAGTTGTAAAAATAAGTTGTAAAATAAGTTACAAGATATTAAAATAATTACTCAAACTTCTCATGAACCGATCGAGCCTTTTATAGGCAAGCTGGGCACGCGAGTATACACACATTTCAAGGAAGCTAAAAATACTCAAAGACACACGAACAAACATCCCAAAATTCCGAAGCGTCTGTAAAATGAAAACAAGTCAACCTGTTGCAGCGTGTTGTCTTCACTACGCCCGGCTTCATATCTGTAGATCTTCTCTCTCTTCTCTCTTACACCCATAAACTCCAAGCTGTGGTCTGATATGGCCCCCCCAAAAATCAGATACGTCCTCCTCTCTGTGTTTGTGGTACTCGTATAGAGTCTGTCAGTTATCGTTGACAGTATGTTACAGGGTTTCTTGTCGAGCTGGCGTGGTGAGCCTCGCAAGCGCTTTTGTAAAGTGATGTCTGGTCGAGCCAGCTTAAAGTTCCCACGATCTGAAAGTATGCTTCTGTGTGAAGAAGCATGACCAGCCTCTAATTCCATCTACCTTCTGGCTGTCTACAGTCACATGAGCTCTCAAATGATCTGTTTGGGTTGTTTTTTTCCTCCCAAAGAAGAAAAATCCGTTTTAAAGGCAGTTTGAGAATTAAATGAATTGAAAGTAGATGATGTCAGGAAAGCAGTTAGGAGCTTTCAGTGGTTTTCAGTTTTATTGCTTGAAGACATCTCATCATATTCTGCTCTTTTTTAATGCAATTTTTGTCTGTTGCAGTTGATGGACAATTTGAGATCCAGCTAATCACCATCTCTAGAGCATCTGAACATTAGAATTAGATGTTAGAAAGGCAGATCTCCAGAAACAGGCCCGCTCACAACCTCTTCATCAGTGGCCACTAGTTACCTGTTTTATATATTCAGTGCAATTCTGATGCAACATTTCACAGCAGTGAAAACATTGCTCACAAGAAGATCCTAACAGGCTGAAAAAACTAATTTACCACAAGAATCCTAGCACATATCAGTAAACAATACAGACCATTTTTTTCAGAAAACAGAAAGATAACAGTGAGGCAGTGTGAGCTTCTCCACTTCATAATAATAGCTACTCCATTTATTTTTACTGACCAATAGAGCACAGTCCCGCCCACTTGGTTTCTACTGGCTCACAACACCTAGGCTAGGTCAAAGTTCACATACATGAAGTAGTCATGAAGCAGAAGTAACTACTACACTACAAGAAGCAAACGTGCATCTTTCAAATCCTGTGTCTTTTCTTCATCACTGAAATGTCTTTTTCAAAGAGTGTATCAAAACCCTGCTAAGATAGAAGAATTCTGGATTTAATACACACTATTTTTAAGTATGCATACTACTTTTTTAAGTATGCACACTACATTTTTAAGTATGCACACTACTTTTTTAAGTATGCATACTATTTTTTTAAGTATGCACACTTATTTTCTTAGTGTGCATACTACTTATATTGGTATGCATACTTATTTTTAGATATACTACACTCCTGTTTCTGTACTCAGTAGTGGATTTCTATTCATGCCATCATACCTTGATGCTCCGCCCACAGCCCACACAGCATTTTATACTTATTGTACACTTATCTGTCACAAGCTTCAGAATCTCGCAGGCAGTAATCTGATTGGTTATCCACGCTTCAGTGAATACACACTTGACATAATCACAACTATACTTTATCGTGAGATTTTTAAATTGTGTTTGATTCGCTCTGTGAGCAAACCAAAATATCCTGATACACACTGCGTGCTGTGAAAATGTCTCAGAGCGTTAGGACATGATTTTTTTTGCCATACTGAACACCCTGCTGTATCACTCTGTTGTTTAGAGACACTGCATGTCAGCATCGTATTAAATAAACCATAATCAATTATTTACGGATTTATATACAGACAATAACCAAAAAGAAGAGATGAAGGCACAAGATGAGTCAAATAGAAAGAGATAAGAATGAAGAGAAAAGAAGAGAAGAGACAAGATGAGAAGGGAAAGAGATAAAAAGACAGATGAAGATAGATAAAGAGAGGAGAAAATGAGAGACTGGATAAGATAAGAGATAAAGAGAGAAAATAAAGATTGATAAGAGTGGAGAGGAGAGTGAGATGAGAGATAAATAAAACTCCTTTCAGAATGAATTTAATTGAAAGTAGTTGTCAGGACACTCGATTTTATTGCTTAAAATCATTTAAAATCATTGTAGTTGATTCAGGAAGTGCACTTATACCTTAGAGATCTGGCTAATCAGTATCTTTTGATCATCTGATCATTAGTATCAAGTGTTAAATTGGGTATTAGAGGGGCAGATTTCCAGAAACTGATCCACTCACCCTTATTCAGCACATTTATCTGGTTTATGTGTTCAGTGCACAAAGCCGTCTTTTCCTCTTTTACAGCCAACAGAAATAAAACACATAAATGTAGATGATCACTACTTGGAAAAAGGACACTCTTAGCTCTTAGTACTTATTTAGTATCACATTTAATTAGGCTCTTTGTACTTATAGCATTTTACTTTGTTTCCCTGATGAATACTTAAACGTATATTGCAGTCTTACTGCTGTGTATCAGGACACTACTGTTTGGCAAAGTGTGAAAGATGTTTTCAAGCCTGGGAGCAGTCCAGAGATCAGGTCCCTGGTCTTCTTGAAAACCATGGTCTGGGGTTCGCTTCCACCCAATGTCAATGTTCCAACTTTTCATGTTACTTCCTGTTTCAAGTTTCCTGATGATGATGAAGAAAGGGTTATTAAAGGGATGAAATGCCTTATTGACATGTAAAACCAGACTTTCACGGCACTGGAGCAGTGTACTTGGCTCACCATTGCTGCGTGAGTGAGTGCAATAGAGAGCATCACGAAAATCACAATAGCCTGCATGGCTAAAAATTTGCTTATATGAAACTGGCTCCATGTTTGCTGGTATTTCAGCATGATGCCATGCATCCAAAACATGCTGTCCTTCTCCACTTGAGTGTTGCAAATAACTGAATCTAGAAACTACCATTTTGCAAAGATGCATGCATAAATGTGATGTATGGAGCCACAACTGAGCCACGGTTCTGAACGAATTCTATGTTAACGCAAACCTGTGAATATAAGCCCTTTCTCCCCAAAACGAGGGCAGTTCTGAGTGTGGACCGAGTCAAGTATTCATGCCAAGTCTGAAAATGCTGGAGTTTGTTTGCACACTTACTTTGGGCACACTCATTTTAAATATGCATACTTAATTTGCATACTATTTTTTTAAGTATGCATACTACATTTTTAAGTATGCATACTTAAAAAACAAGTATGCATACTTAAAAAAGTAGTATGCATACCTAAAAAAGTAGTATGCATACTTAAAAAACAAGTATGCATACTTAAAAAATTAGTATGCATGCTTATTTTATATATTTTTATATGCAGTCAGGTCCATACGTATTTGGACAGTGACCATTTTTTGTGCTTGTTTGTTTTTTTTTGTTTTTTTTTTTGGGACAGCCAAAGATTTGCATCCAAGTATTAAAAATAATCCTAATATTTATGATTATGTTAGTTTGTCCAATTATTTTTGAGCCTGTGAAAATGGAAGCACTTTGTAAAAAATGGCTGTAATTCTAACCTAAATGGTTAATGCAATATTTTTGTTAAACCCCTTGAATTAAAGCTGAAAGTCTACACTTCAAAAACATCATGATTGCTTCATTTCAAATCCACTGTGGTGGTGTACAGAGGCAAAATAATGAAAACTGTGTCACTGTCCCAATACTTACGGACCTGACTGTATATGATGTTTCTGTACTTAAAGGAGTATCTCAGTAACGGTAGATTTCTATTCATGCCACTATACCTTACAGAGTCTCAGTCTCTGAAGCTCCGCCCACAGCCCAGGCTGCATCTTATACTTTTTGTACACTTATCTGTCACA